CCCTCGCCCCTTTTGGGATATGGCACTTAGGTCGATAGGAGTATTGGGATCTAAAATGTGAATAGGATTTTTTCATATTGTGTATCTTAGATTGGGGCCGGTGCTGCCATATACCCAAAAGGGGCAAAGGGGGTCCTAACTCTATATGGGATCAGATACCTTTATATATGTATGTACTATGTATGTACACGCGTATTGATTGTATTTCCGTGTTGAAAGGAACCGCCCGAATCGCGGCGGTGGGCTCTCACAGCGGCCTAGCTTTGGGAGTGCCCCGGCAGTGCTCAGACCTTTGGGGTTATAGTAATATGGGGGGGCTTCCGAACATAGGGGACCCTAATATAGTACCCTAAATAGTAGGATCCTTACTGTAAAGGACCCCCAGATCAGGTACCCCTAATTTTCGGAAACTCCCCTGTAATTAAATTAGACTGGTAATCAGTTAGGCCACTCTAGTATGTAGCCAGGCTATCGCAGAGGCTACTGACGAGGACTTGGAGAGGATAGTGTCTGTTTTTCTTTGTATTAAGACTGTTAATCAGTGGGCCTCCGTGGGCCTTTACGAGCATCGACCATAGGTCAATGTCGTAAGCGGGGATGATGGGGATAAGGCAGGCTTTGGAGTGGTTTTGGGCGTGCGGGTCTCGTTTGTTAGTATGTTCCGCGATCTGTTGAGATTGGGTTCATGCACTCTCGCAAAGGAATCTTGAAGAGACCCTAAGTGTCAATAGTGGCCCAAGATGGTCACAGTGCTGGAGTGCGACTCATGGCTTGCAGCGGTAGAATCTACAAACTCTTCTGCCTAGCCACCTCGGCTTATCAGCACTTGTAGCTTTGCAGGGACTGAATGGTTGACACCGTTCTGGTCCGCTTTAGTGTCTAGAGCCATGGCAGAGACAGAGAAGGATGCCTTCTGCCGTGTCAATGTCAATGAAGAAGTGCCCTCGGAGGATCAGAGGCACACACGCTTTTCAGTTTGCTCAGTATTGCGGAGTTCAAAGAAAGGAGTCTTTCTCCTTTCAAGATCTAGGTGCTGCGACGAGCCAACATGAGACACAGCCACAACAGTGCTGTTAATGTAGCCTGATGCGCAATGCCTCATGACTCAGTCCGCTCCAGGCAGGATTCTCACGAGAACGATGCACAAGTGGACAAGGTTGAAGGACCCGGATGTTGCAGCAGTTGAGCGAAGCAGAACATGCTAAAGTACGCTCGCCGCCTCATGCTCGAGCTCCAAGTGTGTCAAGTCACGACTTCGGCTTCTTGGCGCAGGATGTGTCGAACCGAGCTGTCGCATCATGTCTGCCGCCGCTGCAGCCGTGAACGAGGACAGCCTGAACCGAAGCAGTAAGTGCTCGGGCCGGGGGATGTTGCTTTAGACACCTACTGCTCGGTCTTTAGCCTGTACGTTTACAACTGGTGCCGGTGATGGGGAAGGCGAATTGGTTTAAGCCCCAGACTGTATCGGCGGTAGATGTGGTAGCCTATGGTGAGTGATCCCCTCCAAAAACTGAGAGAACCGTATAAGCCCTACGCATGAGGCTGCAAATTAGGCTTGCAGACCTTGTCGTTTTGTCGGCGCTCAGCAGGGTCTCGGGAAAGAGTCGGATACTTTAGGAAAGTTTAGGGTTTAGAGTTTAGTGAATTTGGTGTACCCGGTTACTCGAAAGCTAGCCGTTGCAGCCTGCAGCACATACGTAGAGGCAATGGAAAGCACTGATGTCGATTGAGCCCTGCGTCAAACTCGAACACAAGCAATATCCCGGAAACTGTAGGGTTCTAGAAGGATTCTACTGCAAAGGCCCCTGAAACCCTAAACCCTAAACCCTCATTGAAGCCCAAGCCCTAACACTGCCAAGTCTTTTCCTCTGATTCGAGCAGATCAAAACAAAAAGACGCCTGCATGGGCAGGTCGACCAAGACATTTCTCCGAACTCCGAGAGGCCGAGCCAAAGCACATGTGGTTTTCGTGTGTGTCTGCGTGTATCCATATATGTATACAGAGATATATATATATATAGATGTGTATATATTTATATACATACATACCTATATATATATATATATATACACGCATGTGTATATACATACATACATACATACATACATACGTACGTACGTACGTACGTACGTACATACGTACATACATACATACATACATACATACATGTACATATACATATATATATGTATACATATATGAGTATATCGGGATATGGGTACCTCACTCACGGGTTCACGTAGAAGGCATCCTACTGTTCGGAATGGCGACTCTGTGTCAGGGTCCCTGTGAGTGACAGTCACGATCGGCGAAAAGCCAAAGCATTCAGCCGCAGCGTTTGAATGGGTGTTGACTACGCTGGTCTGCGCATGGGCCCCTTCTGAAGAAGGCCCCACGTTGCAAGACAAAGTTCTCGGCGTCCGGAGCTCACAAGATGCTGAGCTTTTCAGCCGAACATAGGACACTCGCGGAAAGCTAAAGGTTGTTGTTGCCCATTAT